TGCTGGACCCTCTCCAGCAGTTCCCAGTCCTTCTTGACCCGGGGAGCCCCGAACTGGACAGAGCGCTCCAGATGTGGCCTCCCCAGGGCAGAGCAGAGGGGGAGGATGACCTCCCTCCACCTGCTGGCCACGCTCTTCTCGATGCCCCCCAGGATGCCGTTGGCCTTCTTGGCCACCAGGGCACACTGCTGGCTCGTGGGCATCCTGTTGTCCCCCAGCACTCCCGGGTCCCTTTCCCCAGAGCTGCTCTCCAGCAGGTCAGCCCCCAACCTGTACTGGTGCATGAGGTTGTCCCTCCCCAGATGCAGTACCCTACGCTTGCCCGTGTTGAACTTCATTAGATTCCTCTCCACTCAACTCTCCGGACTGTCCAGGTCAGACCGGACAAAACAATGTCCTGACCCTGCTCTTACCTTCATCCCGCTCGAAGATCTGGACACCCCAAAGCCCCGCGTCCCCCCATGCGGCGATGTCGCCCTCGACGGAGCCCCATTTATGGCATCTCCTGCCGCGGGTGGGTTCAGCGGCACCGGACGAGCCCGCGCTCACCTTGATGTGCAATTTGGCCGCCGTTAGTAAACTGAGGGTGGTGTGTTTGGTGCCGTCGGGTCCGAGCGGTACCTGCCCTTTCAGCTTCTCCAAACACAGCCGCAGATGAGCACGCCTGCAAGGAGATCACACAACACGCTGAGCCGACGGGTACCCACTTCCCAAATGGCGTTTCGCCCCCGCCAGCGCGGAGGATCGGGGTGGTTGGAAGCCGAACCGACCCCTGGCCCCCTCCCACCCTCCGGCAGCTTCCATACACTGGGCAAAAACTGCAGCCAGACAAAAGGACCTCACCGAAAATCCCAACTACGGCTTCCGACAAAACCCTGCCGGGCTGTGGGGACGCTTGCTGGCGAGGAGCTGCCGAAGACCTCGACTTTTTGGGTGAGGGTATCCGCTTTTGGCCTTTTTTCCTCCCTAAAAGCTTCACTCACAGGGATGCGGTGTGGTCACCGCTTTGCTCCACCGACAGCCGTGAACCCAGCGCGTCCCTTGGGAGCGCTTCCTTTCCCTATTTTTAGTAGGAACAGGCCGGTTTCGCATCCATCGCTTTGGCACACGCGGCTCCGGTCCAGACAAAGTTGGGTCCCCGAGGGAACGCCGGCCCCGAGCAACACCGCGCTCCTTGGCCGCCGGGAGCCTGCAGGAATCCCTCCCTCCCTATCACCCCCAAATTTTGTCGGCATTAACACGCAGGGTAACGCTTTACCGCCCGCGCGCCGCTGCCGAGGGGAACGCCGGCTCCTCGAGGACATCCCTTTATCCGCGGATAACCGAGACTTTCCCATCACGGGCTGGTTTCCCTTGCGTTCCGGCGCTCCAACCCCACGATGTAGGTCACGTTTTCGGGCACCGGTTGCAACACCCGCCTTTGTCGAACCCGACCGACGGGGGGCAGCTGCGAATTGGGATTTTGCAAGTACCTGCCAATCTTGTTTTGGGCACGCCGGGAGGAAATGGGCATTTGCCTACACAAAGCACCTTCTGAATTACAACGCAAACAAAACACACCGTCTTTACTCTTCGGGTGAATCCCAAACCTCCGGCAGGCTCAAAGATGAAAACTTTGCAAAGATTTTTTTTCCTGAGCAGGAGGAGGAAGAGCTGCCCGGAGCGGCGCAGACCTGTCCCACCGCGCCATGCCGGCTTACGAGTCATTTACCGGTGAGATCTACGGATAAGGAGCTAGCCCAAAATCGAAATCCTCAGCTACCTTGGCTAAAAAAACTCACGCTGTCACGCTGGCTGTTCGCACCAGCAAAAAAAAAAAAAACAATAAATGGAATAAAAACCCCCAGCCCGCCCTGCCTAGCAGAGGTTACGCAGAGGGGAGCGCGGCGGCCAGCGCCGAACAAGTCTCTGCATTACACAACGCCAACGCCGGCGTCAAAAACTGAGGTTTCCGCTTCGAAGGCAGAGGTGCGGCGTATCTAAAAGCGTGTTTCCCTCACGCTTCGCCCAGCTCAAAGTGCTGCCGTGCTTAAAAAGCTCCAGAAAACCCCCCGGTTCTTAATAATTAAAGAAAAAGAAACCCTCAAATGGTTGGTTTCCCGGGAAAAGGACCTTCCGAGCCCATCGGCTCGTTGCATTGCCCTCGTCCTGACGCTCCGTGAGATGTCCACCTTCTTGTTGCTCTCCCCCCCTGTGTGAAGCCACGCTGCTCCTCGTGCCGGGGCGCGGGGAAGCCAGAAAACTTTGGTCGAGGCCAAGATTCACCAGCTCGATGCAATGAAGGTACCTCTAACGAGGAGCGAAGGGGGTGCATAGTCCCTGTCCAGAGAGAAGCTCGTTTCTCCACCACGTTCAAAGGGGGCGGAAAAGACGGAGCGTTTACTGCACTCGCTTGTGCAACGTTACCAGCGGGGTTTCGACACGGCTCCGGTCTACGCAAGGCGAGAGGGACTCAAGGCGAGCCTGAAGTAATCCGATTCTGATTTTCTCCCTCTTTTCAAACGAGGAATAAACGTTCCTGGCTTTTTCTAAGCAGTATCCCTTGGGACGCTGCCTCTTAAGATGATAAACCGACCGAGTTCAGGCGAATCCTTCGCTGGCAGCAGGACGCGGCAAGATCTGAGCGGCGTCCAAGCCACCCCGAGAAAAAGAGCAGCTGATGGAGGACACAGAGCCGTCTTTCAGTCGGACCACAAAACCTGCACCGCTCTGTCGCAACTAATCAGAGTTCTCTCTGAACCTGGACAGGCTGGAGAGGTGCGCCCATGCCAACCTCATGAAGTTCAACAAAGCCAAGTGCATGGTCCTGCACGTGGGTTTGGGCAATGCCAAGCACAACTCCAGGCTGGGTGGAGAAAGGCTGGAGAGCAGCCCTGAGGAGAAGGACCTGGGGGTACTGGTGGGTGAGAAGCTCCCCATGAGCCAGCAATGTGCGATCGCAGCCCAGAAAGCCCCCGGCACCCCGGGCTGCATCCCCAGCAGCGTGGCCAGCAGGGCGAGGGGGGATTGTGCCCCTCTGCTGCGCTCTGCTCTGGGGAGACCCCCCTGCAGTGCTGCCTCCAGCTCGGGGGGTCCCACCAGCAGAAGGACACGGAGCTGTTGGAGCGGGGCCAGAGGAGGCCCCGGAGATGCTGGGAGGGCTGGAGCCCCTCTGCTGGGAGGACAGGCTGGGAGAGTGATAGGACGAGGGGGAACGGTTTTAGATAGAGAGGAGATTTAGATGAGATAATGAGGAAGAAATTCTTTGCTGTGCGGGTGGTGAGCCCCTGGGCCAGGTTGCCCCGAGAAGCTGTGGCTGCCCCATCCCTGGAGGTGGTCAAGGCCAGGTTGGACGGGGCTTGGAGCAACCTGGGCTGGGGGGAGGTGGCCCTGCCCAGGGCAGGGGGTGGCACTGGGTGGTCTTCAAGGTCCCTTCCAACCTAAACCACTCTGTGATTCTACGATTCAAGTCCAAGCACTCACCTTGGGCAACATCAGGAACGTCCTCACTCACCACGTTATCCAGCCGTCCCATCCTTTGCCCCCCGCTCCCCACCTCAACACTACCTCAGTTCCCCAACACCAATTCCCAACACCCAGAAAAGCAGCGATCCGCCCAGACGCGTCTCCTCCCGATTCCAACACTCACCTATTCTTTTCCATCTCATTGTGCGTCGACCTGAAAAAAGAAAGAACAAGTTATTAACTCCTCCATCCGAGTAGGTACACCGCAATTAGGATTAACACGTGGGTTTTAGTAAACGCTCCCCGGAAAAGTTGCCAACCTCGAGGGCTTTCCGAGCCGCTCGGTACCTCGGGGATAGCGAAAATGGCAAAGGGGATGCAGACGACCCGGCACAAGGGAGAAATTGCCGGATAAATGGCAATAAAAAGGGCCAGCTGAACCCCGAGAGAAGATTTTAATGCGGAGAGGTGCAAGTTTTATAATTAGGACTAGGATTAAGCAGTTGTTCCAGTGCCACGATGTCAGAGAAGGGGACACCACCCAAAATCCAGCACTCTTTGGGCTCGTGGGAGCGAAGGGGAAGCAGCAGTCCTGAGAGCCGCCGCACGCTGCGGGCGAAGGGCTGATCTCCGGGCAGCGGGAGGGAAGTTGCTCCATCGCAACACAAACCTGCAATCGAGCCTCTATCGGAGAGAAAGTGGGTTTTCGGGCAGCGCAGGTGCTCCGGAGAGCTTTTTTTTTTTTTTTTTTTTAAAAAAAAAAAAGATTTCTCACACAAGAAGGGCAGAGAAAGCAAGAGGAGGATCTGTAATTCTCGGCAGGTAAAGCAGAGAGCCGGGGGCCGACAGCTCAGGTGCTCGGCGCCACTTTCGGGGAAAACACACGGCTTTTTTGAAGGTTGTGCGGCATCCAAGAGGTCGTGTCTCGCGCTGGGAGCCCCAAACCAGCTCAGAACACTCCCGCCATGCAAGATGGGGACCGGGGCGAGAGCCCCCAAAGTCTCCGCGGCTCAGCCGGTCATCTCTCTGCAAAAGCGGAACGAGCTGTCGGGAAGGCGACGAGTAAAGAGAAGATTCCCCGCGTCCAACAACAAGTTAGCAGCTCCGAATGAGAGATGCCAAAGGCGATGATGAAACCCAGGCGGGCCTTACGTCCGTGTGCAAATTCCCCTGAAGCTCCTAATTTCGACGAAGCTAAGAAAGGGCAGAAAACAAGCTAAGACTTATTTTCTCTCCGTCGAAACCCGCAGCAGCCACACGAGGCCACGCTGCCCCTCACACCAGGACAGACACTTAGGGAAGAGCCGCTTCCCTGCCCGGGCTCCCCTCAAAAGCTTGAGAGGCCACTTGAATTCAGGAAAAATGTTGTTACATGCCTGAAAAACTACAAACATGGAAAACCCACAGGCTGTTCGGATGAGGACGGCTACCTGAAAGCCCCCAGGCTCCGACGCCGAAGGAAAAAGAAGGGATGCCACCGACACCGGCAGTGTCTCGCGATGGATCGCTGTCGCCCAGGGAGCCATCGCAGCCCTCCTGTCTTTCTAAGGAGACTCATCACAGCCCAGCTCCTTCTTTTTTTTGCTTTCCGGTGGTGCCGGTTGAAGCAATCCGCTCCCAAAGGTCAGCATCCCGCTCACAGGAGAGCACCGACTCCACAACCATTCGATTCCCGTGGAGATGTTTCTCCCTTCAACAGCCGGGCGTTATGCCGACACGCAGGGGAACGGCGAGTTCTCCCGAGCCACCTGCAAACAGCCGGGAAGGACTCGGGGCTTCGGCTCCCACCAGATCTCTCCATTAAACTCCTTTTTTCTGGGTAAAAATCCTGTGTTTTACACCGAACCCTTCGCCACAGCGCTAGCAAACCTCCCGCGAGGCGACGGGCTGGGGCGAGCCCGAGCTCTCCCTGGGGCGGGAAATAAGCCAAACGCTTTCTGAGCATCGGCGCTGACAGAGACGAAGGCTCTCATCACCGCTACACTTGTATTAATTAAAAAAATCCCTTCCTTCTTCTGCAGCTTGGTTTCAGGGTCCTTAGCACAAGGTTTGGTTTTTTTCCTTTTCCATCCATAATTGATAATACTGAGAAAAAGGTTCCTCAGTTGATGGATTTCAATTTTGGATTGAAATCAGGGGGAGAGGGGATGCGAGGGGACCGCAGCGTCACCCCGGGGCTGGCAGACCACTTCGCCCCGTGTCCCCGCACCCTTTTCTGAGCACTTTCACCCCCACCGAGTCGCTGATCGCACCTCCCTCTAACGAAAACTTCGCCTCTCAGCCCCAAAACTTCAGATGAACGCCAGCGCTGCCTTCGAAACACCGTCTTCTGCGGACCATAACAAAAAAGAAGGTAACGGCAGGCGCTGCAGCTGCCCGCTCTCTTTTTAACACCGCGCAGACCTTTGTGGTGCTGTTGCGATTCGCCTTAAGCGATGAACAAGCTCCAATCTACCGCAAAGGAAATACGGAGTGGGCGCGACAAAACACCCATGAACTCATTCGGAGCCTCCCTTGAGAGGAGACCCAGAGAGAGACCTCAAGTTGCCTTCTCCTCCCCTAACGGGAACCTGGCGGCCCCGAAACCCCGGGGCGGGAGGAGACGGAAACGCCCCGGCTTGGGGAGACACCCCGATTCAGAGTGCGAACAAAACTCACGGGGCGTTCCGGGCGGTGATTTGTTGTCACAGCAGCTATCAAAGGTCAGCTGTCACCGTGTCACGCAGAGTTTGAGTTTGCTCCCAACCAGGAAAAGGTGACATATCTGGTGACATCGCTGCCTCGCTCCGCCCTGGGCAAACAGCCCAAAATAAGCCAGGGAGAAAGGAAGCCATCGGCCACCGGTGACGTGTCGGGATGAACCTGCTCAGCCTTTGCTCTGCCCGATGACGTTTCCCCCATCGCCGTTTCGAGGGGTTGGGTGTGCGCATCCCGGCATTCCGGAGTCAGCCCTCCCGAAACTCAGCTGTTAATTTCACCTCGAGGATGCCAAAGTGATTTTAACGTTATTAAAAGTGCCCGAATAAACCACGAAAGAAAAAAAAAAAAAAATAATCCCCGCGGTGACTCCAGTTTGCACCGTGATACGAGCGGCGGCGCCGAGGTGGCAATTGCTGTTGTATAAAAGAGGGAGCAAATAAAACGAGATGTGGGAGAGTTAAGCGATTAATCCATGGGCTGGGGAGGTGTAATTAAATACTGCCTCCCCCTAAAAAAAAAAGACCCCAAACCCACACTGGTGGGACTTGCGTGTTCAACATCAGCAAGGAATAACCTGCGATGAGGCTCTGCACGGTTTTCAGGAAGAATAATTATGGAATTTGCTTTTTTTGAAGGAAAGCAGGACTAGGCGGTTTAAATTAGGCGTGGAACAAAACCTGAGCGATTCCCTGCGCTCGCCCAAAAAGTGTTTTAGAAAAATCTTGCTTTTTTTCCGCAGGATGCTCGCGGAGGGAGAGCAGTTTCACTTCCCAAGCTTCGGCGTAAGCCGAGCCTGAAATCAAAAGTCCAACTTCCACCTTCCCTTCAGTGAACCCATCTGCCACGTCAGACCGTTGCACGTTTCCTACCCATGTTCGCCCATGACGGGCGGTTTCCCCTCACGTCTCGCGGGGATGTTCGGGAGAGACCCCGCCCCGCCGTGATCCGAATTTGGGGATGCCGATAGGAATCTCTTGATGGAGATGGGGTGGCGGTGGGGGACCGTGGGGCTGGCGGGTGGGCTGTGGTTGTGGCAGAGCCCGAGCTGGCGGTCCCCCCCAGCGCTGCCAGGCGTGCCGTGATGGCAGGACCTTACCGGGCTCGGTCACCCCGTGACAGGAGTGTCCCCAGCCCTGCCACACGCCCTGCGATGGCACCACCTTACGCAATCCAGGCACTTGGTGACAGGAGGGTCCCCCAGCCCTGCCAGCACCCCGTGATGGCAGGATCCTACCAGATCCGGGCACCCGGTGACAGGAGGGTCCCCCCCAGCGCTGCCACCACCCTGTGACAGCAGGACCGTACCGGGCTCAGTCACCCCGTGACAGCAGGGTCCCCAGCCCTGCCACACGCCCTGCGATGGCACCACCTTACGCAATCCAGGCACTTGGTGACAGCAGCGTCCCCCCCAGCGCTGCCAGGCGTGCCGGGATGGCAGGACCTTACCACCCGTGACAGGAGTGTCCCCAGCCCTGCCACATGACCTGCCATAACAGGACCTTATCCGATCTGGTAATTTGGTGACAAGAGGGTCCCTCAGACCTGCCAGCACCCCATGATGGCAGGATCCTACCAGATCCGAGCGGCGGTGACAGGAGGGTCCCCCCCAGCGCTGCCAGGCGTGCCGTGACGGCAGGACCTTACTGGGCTCAGTCGCCCCGTGACAGGAGTGTCCCCAGCCCTGCCACATGCCCTGCGATGGCAGCACCTTATCCGATCTGGGAACTTGGTGACAGGAGGGTCCCCCCCAGCCCTGCCACAATCCCAGCGATGGCAGGACCTCACTGGATCCGG